TGCACATAACTTATGGTAAAAATACAAATATGGCATTTATTTTTTAAATCTTACAGACGTAAAGTTTCTGTGCTGTTAGAGGTGTACAATATCCTTATTTTACAGTACAGGGCGAAATGAATTTAAAGGTAAATAATATTTTATAACTTGGGGAGCCAGCAAATCACAACAAATACGTAATTTATTTTTTTCTGGGAAAATCCGACAGTGTCCTAAATTTATTTACACCAGGTTATAAGGCGAATTTTTTTTCACCATGAGGCGAAGTCGTGAAAATTGTTTTCATCAAATCAAATACTTGTAAACACCTTGATTACAAACTCGAATTGATTTCATATCATAATAACAAAGTTATATAATTGAATGATAAAATTATGCATCGTATTCCCGTTTAGAAAATAATACGTCCCTCTTTCGCATGCCTATCGATTACCTGTCTCACACAAGTTTACAAGGGTGGAAACAAATAGAGGCATGTTATTGAGCATTCAAAGAATAGACCTTTGGAAAGAAATATTTTTGAACTTATCTGCAATAGATTAGACATATCAAGCGCACAGTAAAAATATACAGTGAGTAAATTAATAATATATACTTGAATCTACGATGAAATAACGCTTTGGTTGAAAAGATAGTCATTACGATGTGGGGACAACATTATATTATTTGTGCAGACTGAATTTCCCGCTTTATTATTGTCCTATTATGGAAATCATAATATTATAACTTAGTTACCCATAATTTGCGCTAACACAAGAGCACAGAGGAAACTACCTCCAATACTACAAAGTCAATTGACGCTTACAAAGCCCGAATCTTAGGCTGTTACTAAACGGACTGCATGCGCGAAGTCCATAAGTAAAACTGCATGCAGGCGACACTGCCGTCAAACAGTTATCGCCCCGCGACTATTTTAGGAAATCAGTGTATTTTTTACTTTTTATTAGGGAAATAATAGTACATTATCAGGAAGTAAGGGATTGCTGGACGAGAATGAGTTACTTGTATTAATATGAGTCAAGCAATCCCCGTTTCGACCGAGTCATATATAGTGCTTTTCTCAAGCAATGCGAGGAAATAATAAGACTAAAAAGAGGAAGGTATAATAGAAAACGTAAAAAAATATTCAGAATTAATATTAAACGTTATTGTTGTTCTATTGTTAGTCTGCTGAACTTCAGATGATGTGGTTGAATGTGTCTCCATTACTGTATTTTCGTTATCATTCTTCTCACTAGAACTCATTTTAGCGACGGAAATACAAAAAAAGATGAAAAAACGGAAAAGAATACCAAAGCACTTTATTTTAGCGCCTTATTTTAAGTAAGTGGTACAGCCAGGCATTTTTAATCCTCACAAATTACGGACACTTGGGAGATGGCTGTAAGAGTTTTCCTTCTGCCTGTTTACTTATTACCTTAGCTAGATAGTAGATTAAAAGTTTAGGGTATACGGACAGTAAAGGATTTTCATACTTACTTTGCAGGCCTTGGCCCGGAGGTAGTCGTAAGGTCCGTAAATGACAAACTTACCATGTTCGTTTTTTGAAAGTAATGCAAACATTTCCGAATATGTTTGTGAAAACATAATTATCGCCATCAAAATCCTCAATAACTAACAAATTAATTTTAAGAATTGTACAATTGACATAAATTCGTCGAGAACTTGCCTAAACTTCTCAAGTAATCGTTACATTACTTGAGGGTTTGATATTTTGCCGTTACTACTAAAGATCAAGTTATTTCAGACACAAAAAAATCATATAATCTTTCTTAACAATGTCAACTGCTACTTTTGATTCTTAGACTGTCTATCGTTCACATCGACTTCGGCTTGCATTGCACGCATTAACTGTAGACGAGACCACGTGTTGGCAGCCTTAGACTGCGTACCGTTAGGTAACTAGCTGTATTTCGCGAAATATCAAATTCCGATGACATAGTCGATCATTTTACATCATGAGCGCTTTTACTTTCACTATTAATTTAAGTTAGTTAACGCTTTGATAATTTAATAGGCCTAGGGGATATAATTTTCCCTGGGCCCATAACACAAAATAAAAATAATTTATAAATAAATATATTAATAATCATATATAAATAAATTTATAGAGTAACCAAGTTTAGTTACTTTGAGTAGATTATAAAATAAATACAACTTACATAGTGTGTATATATAGAAAAAATGAAGGTAATTTAAGACAGACTTTAAACAAAAAAAATTTTTTTCTTTTGTTCAGTAACTTTACTTTTTTATTTTAAGCGAAAAAAAAAAATTTTTAGATATCAGTTGTTTTGCTAAAATGTAGCATTTATATTATGGATGTGCACTAAACTCGTTAAATCTTAATAAATAAATAATAACCCCAACAATTACTACAATGCAATTGAAAAGTATCTCTAGATTAAAGCTTAAAAAAGACTGTTTTCTAAATTGGTTCTGATCTGGGTATTAAAATACAGGGAACTCCCTATTTTGAGACCAGGTAATTGGTGTAGTTGTCTGGCACATAATAAATAAAAAATAATCTATGCCCAGAAGTGGGATGTACATATCTGGAAGGGAGGATCACACTGCTGGGCATAGGTTAATTGATATATTATTGTAACAGCAACTTAACAAACATTTATATTTGATAAGTTGCTGTTATTTTCAACACAAAGAAACATTTTATTACTTATATTCAATTAATTTAAAAAAAACATTACAATTATTTAGAAATTTGCAATATTTCTGTTGAGAATTATTTAGAACCTTCTAATATTTCTGTTGGTAAGTTTGTTATTGGGATTTTTAAGAAGTGTACTAAACTGAATAAATTCTGAACAGAACTAAATCCCTTCATTTGTGGAGTGGTCCCCAGCGGACCACGGATTTTATTCAAGTTTTCGTTTAAAAAAAAAGCATATTGCAACAGGTTGAGGATAGCACAGACTATCTAATAAGCTATAATTTGAAATAAATAAATTTTAAGAAGCACACTCTTGCAATGTTCAAGAACATGCACTATTTTGTTTCAAAAATTAAACATTTTTTTTTTTAATTTAAGGAACTATAGGGTTTTTGTGTTTTATCATATTTGTAAAGAACTAAAAATACAAAGAATTCTGCTAGAGACCCTAATAGTTCAAAAATTTAAAATATGTAAACACGATTGGCTGTAGCCGAACGGTCACCATGCCGGATTGCAATGCAGAGGTCCCAGGTTTGACTCCCGGGCCGGAAGAAATAATTTGTGGTTGTCTGTGTGTAGCCATGGCACCCGCGACACGGGGTGTCCCTAGTGCAGGGCCATGTTGTGTGCATTATTTATTATATTATTATATGTTATTATTATTAAAGATAGTAAGCATAAACAGCTCTTTTTAAACTGAAAAATGCTATAGTTTCACGTGGAAATGTGTACAATATTCTTCTCGGCTTTGAGCTTAAAATATACTTAATAATAAGTATTTACAAAGTAATCGTCATTTTACTAAGGCTAGGGTTCCTAAAACCAAACAGTGTGTGTAAGTCCACAGCAGACCTGACACACATGCTACTTTATGCCATTTTCTATAATGATGACATAACACAATATGTAAGTATCTTGATAATACATACATAAACACATCATTATACTTCTAATCTGAGAAGTGTTATTACAAAATATTACATTGTTACTGTTAAAAGATAAAATCTTACTGGAAATTGTTATTGCAACTATTCCTATTATAAGAGACAGAGTTGCCCCAATATTATGTTCATTATATTTATATTTGTCCAATAAACATTTAATTGAAAAATGCTGATCAAATATACAATGTTAAGTAGAATGCAATAACGCAACTTATTATAATATATAACTAACTTAGGTAACAAATTCAAAGTTACTTAAAATTGTTACCCAAGGTTTGTTAGCAATGTGTTGCACCCCTCATGGAAGAATGGCATAAGTGGAATTACATCAAACATGTTTATTGCTTCATTTGATATAATTAATATTTTTCTGTATCTAATCTCCAATTGGAGAGGATGTGGGTAAAATTTTTCTATATCTAATGGAGCAATAAATATGTTTGATGTAATGAAAACTTATGCCATTCTTCCATGTGGGGTGCGATGTATTGATGGAAGCTACAGAGAGAGTTCTTCAATATACACAATAAACTATGGTTCAAATGTCATTAATTTGCAAAAAGTTCAATGTGAATGACGCTACAGAAAAGCTTAATACTTTGCAATTCTACTTAAATTTTTAGAGAGCTAAAATGCTTTGTGACAAATACAGCTTCATTAGAAGAATGCGTGCCAACTTTTCAAGAGGCCCTACAATAGATTCCCCAATTTACAATATTTTCATTTCATTTCATAAAATTCATGTGTATATTAGTCTACAAATTATCACTTGCTGAGTGGTGAAGGAATGTATTATGCCATACGCTAACTAAAATAATTTTTTGAGATGTCATAAAAAACCATAACCCAGTTTTAGAATATTGAAATTGTTTAATGATATTACAGCTATGCACAGTTAGAGTAAGTTCTGATAAGTCAAACAAGTTAACTAATTTTAACTGTTTTTAAAAGAGAATTTTGTGCTCTGTTTTTTGCTATTTTACTTACCTGCGTTTTAGTTAGTGGACGGCAGTATTGTGATAAAACCTGCATGGAACAGGTTAACTCAGGTATTCAAAATCATTTGGAGTACCCAACCTCTGTTGGGTCAGCTTGGTGGATTATGACATAAAACCCTCATTAGAGGATATCCATGTCCAGGATATAAAGGCTAATGATAAAAACTTTGTGTTAATTTATTTGTAGCCCGATAAGAACATTTAATTTAACAAAAATACTAATTATGATCACGATGACCACGTACCCTAGACCAATAGCCCGATGACATGTGGTGATACGGTAGCCGCCAGCTGATTGGCCTTCAAGCTACGAGTATGATCAGTGCAACCCCAACATAATGCAAACCAAGTTTATACATGTAACAAATATAGATTATTACTTACTGAGCATCATTTGATGTACTAGATACGTTAAGGTAATTGTCCATTCAGTGGTACAACGCATGGAAACTTCACGAAGTATTGCACTTATTTGCAGGTCTATAAACACTTGCTCTACGATTGGATGGCGAGGCACACTTTAATTCGGTACGTCACGCTTCGAAAATCAGGCACTGTATGGTAACAGGTAAATGATTATAAATCGCGAATATGGCACATATAAAAAACGTTCTCTAATTTATATAATAAAGTGCGACAACAACAAACTGCTCACTCAAGAATAAGTTTACAAACGTCAAATCAAAAGTTAGCGAAACGTCAAATAGCCTTTATTTTCGTTCGGAAATGTACTCATGAGAGTTGCGTCTAAAAATAAAAAATAAATAAGCGGTAAAGTACGCGCGTGCTGTCCGATGTGTCTATAAGAATTGTTGCCTAGCGTCTGGGTCAATTTTGTTCCAGGTACGGGTATGTATGTTATACAATTGTTACATATAGGATTGGGTCGGCTATTGTCATGGTAAGAGTGCGACGACTACGGGCGTCGTCCACCATAGTAATCTAGGGTCATATTCCAGAACTCTACTCAATATTCAAGTCAGGACTTGAGTATTGCAGAATGAAAGAAAATCATATGCAAGTCCTTGTCATTAGGGTCGTATTTCGTACTCAAGTCTGCTCAAATCCTGACTTGAGCATTGAGTAGTCCTGGAATACAAATTACACATGTGTGGGAACACATCCACGACGGTTTTTTTTTTCAGGACTCCGACGTTGGCCGCTAATGACTTGACTGCGCCACGGGATGTATGGGCGAGCTGAAGGCTCTTCCGTAATCTCCTCGTCAATGTGTAGCATACATCGAGTATATAACCAGAAATAAAGACGAAATAAGGGCCATATATTTCTGTAACACATTAGCGATACAGCTCTTATAAATATCAATTCTCGTTTGCACTGAAATATAGACAGGCCAACTACTGACCTGTGTGTACGTCTCCGCATATTCCAAAAAATATTCTGTATTTATTGTAATAAAGATAATATCTCTAACAATGCCGTGCTGTTCTATTCGATGGCGTGGGAAAAACAGCAAAACATCTAATTACAAAATAAACGGAATCATATTTCATCGGTAATTAAATATGTAAATTTCGTCCATTAAAGCTCAAATTAACTGGTCGATTTGAAGTGAAATAGTTGACGACACCCGTCAATTGTTTCGAACTTGGGCTAGCCAATCGGATCGCAGTTGTCACAGTAATAATGACAGAATAGTTTTCAAACAAATTAAATGACATAACGTTTAATTTGTTTGAAAACTATTCTGTCATTAACAAATTAAATGACATTACGTTTTTCAGAAGCTCCTACCGTTATAAACACCTTGTCATCTCCTGACAGTATGAATGCCCCCTTCTCTTTTGAAGAACTAAGCTGTGCTTTGGACCATTTAAGGGATTCGGCGCCGGGTGCGGACGGCATTCCCTATTCGTTTATTACCAGGTCCTCTAATCCTACCAAAATTTTTTTTTTGAATATTATAAACACAATTTTTGAATCTGGCATAGTCCCTATTTCATGGAAATCCCAAATTATCATTCCAATCATAAAACCTGGGAAAGACCCATCTAATGCAAACTCGTATCGACCTATCGCCCTATCATCTGTTTTAGCTAAAATCATGGAACACCTAATAAAAAACCGTCTGGAATGGATAGTAGAGAGCAAAGGATTGTTACCCAGAAGCCAGTTTGGCTTCCGAAAAGGCATGGGCACTATGGACAGCCTAAGCATTTTTTCATCAGATGTTCGACTAGCCCTCTCCGAGGGAAAACACGTCATAGGTGTGTTCTTAGACATAACATCAGCTTATGATAACGTGAACCTTCCACTACTCTGGCAGAAGATGCTCAATCTGTGTATTCCTGTGAAGATGATCAATGTCATTTACAACATGTTTATGGGTCGCTCTATCGCAGTGCGTGTTAACGGTTCCACAACCCCCTCCCGTATGGTCTGGAACGGCTTGCCTCAAGGTTCCGTTCTTAGCCCTCTCCTTTTCAGCTTGTACACGTCTGACCTCGGCACTTCAGTCAATTGCTTCTGCAAAATCTTGCAATATGCAGACGATATCGCCCTGTACGCTTGTTCCAAATCTTTTTCAGATACTGAAAGACGCCTCAACTCTGCCCTTTTTTACCTAGACTCTTGGCTTACCAATCACGGCCTCTCTCTTTCAGCTAACAAAAGCACAGCTGTCGTTTTTTCCCGCAAGAGACGCCTCCCTGAAACTGAAATACATGTTAATGGGGAAATCATAGAACTGAGGGAAAAAGTAAAATTTTTAGGCATTATTCTGGACTCAAAATTATCTGGCATCCATCACCTCAACTATATTTGTCAAAAAGCTGAAAAAAGCATAAATGTCCTACGTGCACTTTCTGGTGTTCGTTGGGGATCACATCCGTATAACCAAAAGCTCCTGTACAACGCAATCATTAGAAGTCATTTTGATTATGGCGGCTTCCTTCTGGAACCATGCAACAAAATAGCCCTGGCTAAGATGGACAGAATCCAGGCAAGATGCCTGAGAATAATCACAGGTACCATGAAATCCTCACCAACAAACGCTCTTCAAGTCGAATGTCTGGAGCCCCCTCTACATCTACGTAGACAATTCCTTGCTAATAGATTCCTCTTCAAGATCTTTCAATATTCTTCTCACCCTTTGCTTCCCGTATTGCAATCCTTGTCGGAGATTATCCCTTCCTCCAATTATTGGTCACACAAGAAACCCCCCCTTCTTATCAACAGTTTTAACAAAATTTCCAATCTCCCATTCCCTATTTACCAAAATTATATGAACCCGTTGTTTGAAACTGATTTTAAATGTTTAACGTTTCGCCCAACAGTCTATCTTAGTTTTGGCATCATGAAAGATACCCCTGGAGCAAACCAAGTCTTCAACGATATAGTTGAGAGAGAATGGCATGACTGGACTACTGTTTTTACCGACGCTTCAAAATTACACGAACATGGCGACTTGGGAGCCGCGGTTTGGTTCCCCAAGTTCAATGTCGTACTCAGTTTTAAATCCCCCTATCTGAATTCGGTCTTTTCGGGAGAGGCAATTGCAATACTCGAAGCCATTTTATATATTGAGTCCCATAAAATTAATAAATGTTTGGTTTTCTCAGACTCACTAAGTTGCCTCCAAGACATTATTAAGCTACCGTTTCATTCCAAAGACAATTTCTCCATCACCCTCCAAATTAAGGAAGCTCTGTACCGATGTCATTGTGCGGGAATTGAGGTAACTCTGGCCTGGATTCCCGGTCACAGTGGGATTAGTGGCAACGAAGCAGTAGACGCCTTTGCAAAGGATGCGACAAGAATTGGCGTATGCAAATACTGTAAGTGCTTTCCCAGAGATCTGCTCGCCATGACCAAACCCCAAATGCTAGCCTCCTGGTCGGTCCTTTGGCAGGAATCACGACAAACTGTTGGTAGACACTATGGTAATCTCCAACCAAATCTACCCACTAAACCCTGGTTTTTTAAACGTCGCGATTTGCCTAAAAACATCACTTCCACTATTATTCGTTTGCGCTTAGGCCATGTTTGCACACCTGTATTTTTGCGTAAAATCAGAGTTCGAGATCACTCTCTGTGCGAGTGCGGCCTAGAAGACGGTACCTTGGAACACATTTTTTTCAATTGTCCTAATATTGCTGTTCCACTTTATAACTTACTTTCTCCAAAATTCCCCCGCCCCATTAACATAAACAACCTCTTAACTTTAGTGTTCTCCCCCCATATTGTTACTCTATGTAAATTTATCCACTTAAATAACATATATTTATAAATATTGTTTTGCTGTTTTGTTTTACATTCTCAACTGAGTACTCCCGTAGTCCAACTTACCAACACCGGTTAATGTCCTATTAGAGCTTAGCGAAAATTTTTTTTTTTTTTGTTTCGTTTTTTTTTCTTTCAACTGTGACATTGGCAAAATCATCAGTTCTCATATTGATGGAGCCATAAAAATAAAAAGTGAAGTGAAGTGACATTACGTTTATATTTCTGGTTATATACTTGAAGGTAGCATAGATTTAGTATATAGGTCATTGACCTACATATAGGTACCCTATATACTAAATCTATAGTGTGTAGGTACTGCACGGAGTGCTATAGTTTTTTTTTAATGGGACTGTATGGGGATATCCGAAACCATAGAAGATTACTAAAAGGAAACTGTAATATATAGAAACCAAGTAGAAACCATTGTCTTTTCGTGACAATTTTGACTTAATAGTTAATTTTTTGGTCAAGCGTGAGTTGTCCATATAAATGAACATTTATGAAATTTTTTTAGCGATTTTTTCATTGTATGGGACGAAAAAAATCGGGAGGAGTCGAAATTGGTCAAAATTCATAAAATGTTTTTCATACAAAATGAATAAAATTGACTATTTTTCTTAATGCTAATATTTTCAATTTTTTATAATTATGGTTTTATTGTATGGGAAAAATCGGGTTGCAGAAATTGATCAAATTTAAAAATTTGTTCATACATAGTAAAATAGGGGTTTGGAGAAATTATTAGCATAAGAATTTGCTATAATGAAAATACGATAATAGAGTAGCTATAATTAAAAAATGTGTAGGCAATGTGTAGGTGTGTAAACAATTGAATTTTAATAATTTGGCATATTTATTGACCTTAACCTTACATACAATAATAATAATCATTTAGAAAGTATTTCACATAGAATGATCGTTGACAGTCCTATTTACTTTTGTACGAAGTTGTATATAATGTACGTGCTTACCTGTGTCGTTAATAGGTATTACTACATATCATTGTGAACAGAAAAGTCTACAGTCGACAAATTTATCCCGAGGTAAGGCACAAATCGTGCGATCAAGCTATGTGAAGTTTATAAAGTTGATCCAATTTTGGCCACATAATAGCTAACTTTTAAACTACTTGGTGTTGCTTAAAATTAAAGTTAAATATTCACTAAATGGGGTTTTCAGTTTGTAGTGTTTTTGGTCTGATTATGGTACTAATTACTTAACTTTTTTTATTCTTTACTAGTAATTAGGCCTAAGTAAAACACAACAAAGTTCATGTAACATGCAACAC